TCATAACATAACCTTGTATCATTTTTTTTTTCAAAAATTAAAGAAGCAATGTACTGTTAATTCTAATTTCAAAATGACTGTGGTTAGTGCCAATTAATAGGTCAGAATTAAATTTCATTAAAATTAAGTTACCTATGTTAAAATGCAAGATCACATGCCATCAAAAAGCAAAGGGCAGTCATATTTACGGCTATTAATAGTAACACAAAACTCTTAGGTTAAACACGGGTGCTTGACCTCGTGTTAAATTCTCTAGCCATAGTTATACCTACCAGAACCAATACCTGGATTCCAAAGTGGGGAATTATGCCTTTCAAATGACATAATATTTATGTCTATGGTCACTAGTCGATACTGCGAGTGGCAGGTGTGCGCCGACCCTAACGCCAGTTTGGTACTCACGGCGATATGGTACTACATGATCACAATACACATGTACATCTTTTGATATTTAACACGTTAATTTAGAATGTTTTTACACACTAATACTAGTTTCCTAAATGTTAATGTTGATATTTTTTTAAACCAATGTTGGCTATAGGCTTGCATTTATCACTGAGGGGCTGCCCCATCAATTCACTAGGCGCTCTAAACTTCGGCCCATTCATCTCAAACTATTTGGTGCGTCTAGCAACACTTGTTAATAATTCTACTTTACGAAATAACCACTTTAGTTTCAAAACATTTTAAAAAACCTCGATCCTATTAAAAATTATTTTGTCTTTTTTACAAGTGTGTGGCCAGACTGTAAGCTGCATTCACACAAGCGGATAATACAGGTAATTTTCTTTATTCATTAAGGAAATAGTTCCCTAAGCAGGTACATTTATCCTAATGTAAATGGAGCTTAACAACACTGTCGATTCAAATTAAAGACCCAACCCCGCGCTTGCTCAGTATTAAATGCATTCACATTTAGTCGATAATCGAATAACTTTTAAAAGGTAATCGCAGTATTCACTCTAGACACAATTTTGGGGGTACACGTATTCAAGACACTTAATTTAAAAATACAATAAGTGATTTTAAAATAATAAACTCTGTATTATAATAGTACTAGTACTCGTGTATAATAAATGAATTTTTAGTAACAACATAGAAAAGGCAGAAAAATCGCGAATATTTTTTCAGGTTGTGTCATTTATTACTCACAGAAGATTACAGAAGTATTATATTTTAATTGTTTTATAAAACTTGATAACGTAACAGTTATTTTTAGTATCTTGTAGCGTCATTGTTGAACATATAATGAGAATAATCTTTTCCCCATTAAGGCGGTTCGCAATCACACGATTGGCGATTTAAATTGTTCTCTTAGAAGCATATTATTGTTGTGCTATTCGTGTTATTTCGCACGGACGGACGATAATATTGATATTGTCTGTTAAAAGTGCAGATAATACGTCTTGAGGGTGTGTCAAATAAATAATAAAAACAAAATAAAAAAACTCATAATATTACGGTTAGTATTTATTTAACTAGGCAAAAAAGGTGATCATTTTATACAAAAAAATATATTTGCTAATTTCCACTGTGTGCGCCCCAAATCCCTATTAAAAAAGTCTTTAAACGACCGTTTTATTTTATAAATAAGACTTTTCCTAGGAAAAAAAATACACCAAAATATGGTATTCACCTTATAACAAAAAATTAGTTACAAGCGACGTACGTTTTAATGTTCATAAATCTTATAAAGTAAATCAAAGAGACCTATGAATGCATTTTAGATCTATTTGCCGCGTTCGTAACTCGAATCGACTAAATTTTATATTTGACTACCCATATTATTACAGAAATATTGCTGGTTTGTATGTTTCTTATTTTACAATTATTATCTCTGTTTATGTAAATCGAAAAAAAGTCGATTCGCAAGAGAAAGTATTTGCATGCAATATTATTATTTGCACTAAGTTTAATTGTAATAATTACGAACCATAAAGAATCACTAGGACATCGTAATAATATGCAGCTACAATTATGAAAAAAGCCTATAAAAAGATTATACCTCTTTTCATAGATTTCCATCGACAACTGTTGCTGCTCTTTTAAATTACAAAGATAATTACAACAAAAAAAAAACATAAACTATAATAGGGCGTTTGAGTTTTCTCCCAGCTATTCTATAATATTATTACAGCCTTAAATTGATTTTGTTTAAAACTTTTTTCTCTAAGTATAAATAGATGTATCACCACCTTAGATATCAAAAGGTATTGTTTTACGAACTAGAACAATTAGTTATAACGAAGCGACTTTGCTAGTCGGTTACAATTTTAAATCAACGTAAAGAAATAAAGCCTGCACTATAGCCACGGCTTGTAAAGACCTGATTATCTACAGGCTTGAACTAACAAAAGCTAATTGTAGTAAGAGGCCATAGCTTCTAAGGTACACTACGAGACCAAATACGTACATAGGTACCCTAAAACAGAATTTGCAATTTTAATTATAGCCCTTATGAGATAAAAATAATGTTTACATTAAGTCAGCAAACAATAAATATGTGATTTTATTTTTACACCTATTTATAGTAAGTACTCTTCAGTGTTAGTTACTTTTTACAAGATTATAGTAACCTACACAATAACGCATCTTAACGTCGGTCAATATTAATTTTGTGTAATTGTATTAAGAAAACAAACAATATAATTTCCTAATCGATTAATTGGATGTATCGAATCATCACAGGTCCTGTGTATAAATCGATTTCAACTTAGTCGATTTTATTGAAAGTATCGATAAGGTATGAAAACTATATAGTAACATAACTAGCAAAGCATAAATAAAATCATAGAAAAAAAATAACAATTCATTTAACACTACTCATCTAAAATACTAACCATGTTAAACTATGACTCCTGGATAATAAATAATGGAGGAGTGTGGAAAACCTAGGGCGCTATTATGCAGGAAGAGCGAGGAAGACAGAAAGAATGCTTAGTCTTAACGGTAAACACCGGTATTGTCGAACAAGAATTAATTTATTTATCGATGTTTTCTAACGAAACTATTTGTACTTAAGTTCAAATTTGACGTCAAATGTTTCAACTGACGCGCACCTTGTCGACGGCTTACCAATTGACATTAGTAATTATGTGTGAATAACAGCGTACGAAAAATAATTTTGTGTATCTGATAAGGGGGCTTCCATTGATTACGTGAGGTATTCAGGAGGGGGAGGGGGTCGAGCCGAATCTCACGAATCTTACTTTTGGGAGAGGCAATCTCGGCAAATATCACGTATTTTTTTATCCGCAAGAAACAGAGTATAAATTGCGAAAAAACTGGTTAAATTAAGTAAAACATGTTCCTCCATACGGAAATATGGCCAAGTCTGTACAATAATATTTATCATGGTATTGCGAGTGCCGCGAAATTTCAACGGCAGACCGTCGTTTGTTTACACTAAAAAACACATGTGAGGATGGGGAGGTGGTTGTATCAAATCTCACGACAACTCACCAGAGGAAGTAGGGGGAATGGGGCGTCAGAAATAGCCGAAATCACGCAATTAATGGACGCCCTTTAAAATAGAAAACAGCGTAATATATTAATACTTCTGATTCTAAACTAGTCAGCCTGTATTATAGTAACCATACTGTCGACAAACAACTACATGTATATGCATGCTTATATTTTATTACTAAATATGTACATATTATAGACAAATCACACTGAAAAGAACAAAAACTGATTATGTTCATCATACATTTATATTTACAGGGTTATTTTCCACCCTGTACCAGGCCACTCAATATATTTAAATACTCTTTATATAAAGCACTTGTGTATAAAATAGGATACCTTCTATTTTTATATATGTGTATAGATATAATCAAAGGCTTTCAAGGCTTATGTAATCGGTAGGTGTATAAAAAACTCACGACAAAGACATCTCGTCTGAGGATGCTTGCTTGTTCAATGGAGCAAGTGACTTTAAGGTTGTACGAGTGACTGTCCAGAGTTAAGCCGTAGAAAAGGTCGTGACGTTTAAAAGCTAAGTTAATAAAAAAAAAAGATAGTTTCTCGATTGTTCTTGTCTATTATTTTAGTTATATATTGCTATGCATATTGTTCGCTTGAAATATAATTTGTTTTGAGTTTTTTTTTAAATATGTGGTTGTGATGGAAACTATGCCTCAGGTAGCTATTTTGGGAGGGTCAAGTTTTAGCTTTGTTTTCTTTTTAAAATTTAAACACGCAATCTTAAGTGTGTTTTAGTTATATCAAAATAATTTCGATATTTATTTTTGTCTTGTTAGAAAATAAAATATTAAAAAATATAAATTATGGTCGTTTTTTTTTTTAATAATTGGGCAATAGTTGACGTCAATCTAAAAGAATGTTCTAGCAAAGTTACATCGTATGAAAACATGGAGTTTTATATCATAAGAACATACGCGGTTATTATTTAGTATGTAAAATTAAATCGATATATTTTTTTGAACAAAACGAAAATTTACCTTTTTAACTCTGTAAAAATCAAAGGAAATTTTATAAGATAATCATAGAGTATAGAAACAAAAGATAGCTTAGGAACCTCCATCGTTGACATTGAGTTGCATTGATTACAGAACATGTGCCGTCACTAGACGTCAAACACAATAATCAATGTGTAGTGATGAAACATGTTCATTCGTATATTAGCACACAGACAAGCGGTTCTGCGGTCCGACTAAGACAAGAAATAAATCTAAGTATGTATTGGCTGTTTACAATCTTAAGAAAACTCCTGTTTATATTGCCACGCCAAAGACGTCACGACCGAAAATCTAAACTCACCTGGCACATATTTAGATAGGGTAACACTACATTAAAAATAAATAAATATAGAGACTACAAGAGTTTTTAGTGTTGCACTATCTGAATATATTGGTCTCGAAAATTACTTTTACACACGGGCTAACAAAAAACTTTAGTTTAACGTTGGCAACGTCTATAGGCGTTGTACGACAACATAGAGTTCTAATAGCCTAGGGATTTTCACAGCATACATACAGTCATGCAGACATCAAAGTTAGTTCGGCGTTCTTGAATTCCGGTGTCGATGCCGGCGCTTCTAAGGCTTGCAGTCCGGCTTCTAGCTCTTGCTGTAACCAAAAGAATGAGGGTTATTTTATAACAATTTTTGTGCTGACGAAGAATTATTCAAATTTAATTTGTATAAATACTCTGGGTATATGATATTCTATGAATGCTATTTTTTTCATAAAATAACATTTTTAATTTCAGTGCCATCTTGTCAAATTTGTGCATAACGTATGAATAAAAAAAACTTTTACGGGTAAAATTTAAGTCGGCGAATGACTATACCACTCGTAATGGAGTATTAAATGCCAATATTTCGCCCTTGTTTAATAATTTTGGTCCCATTTAATAAAGGGCAGGCCAATTGCTATAAACCGGATACACACTCCAGTATTCTTATCCGTCACCATAATCCATGTGGCGTGGTGACGCAATAAGAATACGGAGTGTCACCACCCCTGTTCATCCCGTAAACAAACAAGGTGACAACAGCACTGCATAAAACCCTATTATAAACCGTCTGGCCAGCGTGGTAAAGTTAGGCCAAAACCTCCTTTCTAAGGAGAGGCTTATGTCCAGCAGTGGATTATTTAAGGCTGTTGATGATGATGGACACTTTGGGGATCTAAGAAGACTGGCAGAATATTGAACAAAAAGAAAAATAAGAAGGGAAAGCAATGGTTAAGAAAGGGATATTGTTCAAACAGATGTATATTGTAGACTGTAAGCAATAACTCGAAGCAGATCAGTGCTCGACCTCAGCTCTGGCCTGTGCTCTAGGGCTCGAACTCGAGCAAATTCGATTACACGTATGCCTGTAATCTTTTATGGCATAGGGTGGTTAGGGAGCTGACGGGTCACCTGGGGGTCTAATGTGTTAATGTAACATCAACTCGTTCTCGACGCCTAACTACGTTGAGTCCACGTCAGCCAAGTGCAATTTTTCACGTTGGCCAAGTGGTGACCGTGACGAGCGAGTTGATGTAAAATAAATTCACACCAGGTTCTTTGATGGTAAGTGAATGTCGCAGCCCGTGTACACTTGCTATTCAAGAGTCCACAAAATGCTTTACTTTGAGTCAAGCGTTGTAACAATAATTGGCTGGTATTGGAAAGTGCGATCCCTCCAGCCAACGTTATGAATGTATATTGTATAATCAGGCCCATCTCTAATTTATTAGATGCCCTGGGCAAATTAGCATACTGGGGCCCCTTCGAACTTAGCTGAGCACTATTTTATTAGAATGGACAAAAAAGTATTGTAGTCAGTCATTACAAATGGATTTTTCGAAATAATTATGTTTTTCGGTGATAAATATTGATTTTCAATTGGTGATCTGGCCGGAATCGGGCCCCTATTGATCGAGGGGCCCTGGGCACGTGTCCAGAGTGTCCAGTGAGAAAGAGGGGCCTATACTATGTGCAAAGTGCTGTATATTTCGTCCTATATGCATAGTTCGATAAGCCGTTTTGTTAGACCTTTATGATGTAAATATATTGTTAAGTTCATGCTAACTGTTGTGTTTTTACTTAAACTGGTAATACATTGAATACGGGTACATTATTTATATAGTAAAATGTAGTTTTGCTGTCAGTAAAACAACCTTATTCTTTTATAAGAATAAGACAAAACATTATACCAAAAATTCAGGCATATAACATGAATATCTGTACGTATGAACTTTTAGTTTTTAGAATTCTCCGAAAAAAAGTATGAAAACGGTACGAATTTGTCTTTGAAATATCTGATAACATTAAAATCTACGGAAAAGACTTCGTCTGTATTATTGTTTATAAAGCTTCAAAAATGGAATTCTAATACTTAAACTTTGGAACTTTTATTTCTAAAAGCGCCATCTATAAGCCCAAACCTAAAACTTTTTGATTAGCAACGCCAACGTACATTTCGAAACATTATCGTTTAATAAATGCCATCAATGAACTGTAAATGTACTTACATCATCCAAGCCACTGACTTCATAAGCCTTTGCAGCGGCCCGCTAATCGTTCTGACACTGTAGCCCTTTCCAAAGGGACCATGTCTGCTCCGACAGCCATTCCACCAACCACTATAGAGACTTGGGGTTCCAGCGGTGGTAGATGGGACAGGTGATGGGCCTTTGCACCACTTATGGCGTAGGGCCAGGGACGGAAACGGGACCACCGACCGCCCTAGGCCCGGCCCCATCGACGGGCGAGGAACGACGGGGATGTGAGGGGGTAAAATTCGTTGTGCGTTGCGCGAACGCCTGTCAACAATTGTGACGGTTTATAGGTCTTTACAAAACGGCTTATTGAACTGTGTCGTTCCAACAAATCTCAGAAAATAATTTTAAACTGCATGACCGTAGATACGGCCTCACAGAAAATCCACCAAGTGAATGAGATTACAGACCTCTCTCACTAACTGTGAAGGGCACTTAAAGAATGAAGTCACATTTACGTATTCTAAGTTTAAAAGTATTATGGGCAGTGGTAGCCAATCGTAGAACACCTACAACTTAAGGTAACCTGCCTGTTGTTTGCCGATTGTTAAATAAAAAAGGTTTTGCTCACTATATTTTGTTTTATTTAAATAAAATTGACAGTATTTTAAAAACAAATGTTGGAATTTCTAAATGAGATTTGAAATACTAAACATACTACATAAACCTTGAGTGTGATCTAGTCACTTAAATACATGGCCTCTAGGAATTGAATTCTGTACTTAAAATTAAACTAAACTTAACTCACTTCAGCGTGTGGTGCCGGAGGCAAAGCACTCCTTATCTCACCGAAGTTGAATAATCTGAAAAAAATAAAAACATTCATATATTATTTTTTATAAGAAATAGAAGGCAGTATGTATACGGACGTGACGGATTAAGAATACGTAATGTCACCACCCCTATTCAGTCCCGTGGGTGTCGTAAGAGCCGACTAAGGAAGAAAACTACGCAAGAGCAACTCAGCAAAGAGTAGGAAAACTTGAAACAAACCCTATACCAACCCGTCTGGCCAGCATGGGTGTAGTAGGGCAAAACCTCCTTTCTAAGGAGAGGCCTATGTTCAGCAGTGGACCGTTATATGCTGTAGATGTGAGTGATGGTGTAAGTGGTTGAAGGGGGAGACCCCTTCAACCACTACACCATCACATCACACCGCTTGTGAGATCGATGCCCAACACTTTGTATCATCCACAAATTGTTGGTCTGAGTTTGGGTGTTGTTTGTGTAAGTATCATAAATGTTTGTAAACTCTCCCATGGACACAGGATATATTTCTAGTGCGGGTGTTGTAGTTTTTTTTTCACAAAGGTATTAATGAGCTTTGGAAACAATACAGAGCCTTCTAGTTCCTAAAAAAGGAAACTTTAACGTTGTATGATTTAACAATTAATTTAAAGAGAATCAACGCGATCAAATAAAATACATCTTTGGTTTTATGGATAATCAGACCGATAAACAACAGAGACATTTGATAAAACACATGTTTTTTTTTGAGAAATGTGTACAGGGTTATAAAAAACGTTTTATCCCACAAATAGGACACCAGAGGGAGTGCATAATTGATACCATTCAGCCTGTAAACTATTGTCAGAGTGACCTGAACTAAAAGCAGGCATTTATCCTTATAAATGCCTGCTTTAATTCAGGTCACACTGCGGTTCCTGGTATGTCACACACATCTCAGAGACGGAAGTCTGTTCTCAAACTAGACGGGAGCCCTATACTATGGTAACCAAACTGCTGATAAACATACTTACATATTACTAAATACATACATATTATAGATAAATTACACCCAAACTCAGAACAAATGATCGTGCCTCTTCACAAAATTATTTGTCCTGGGTGGAATCGAATCTACGACCTCCAGTTCAGCAGTCCAGGTCACTAACCACTAGAACCACAAGCCCGTCGATGTAATGATTATATTAAATTCGGGATATACATTTGTTTTTGTTGTCACACATATATCTGAAAATGGCGTTTAGACCATGACAAATTGAGTAATCAATTCAGCTTTGAGAATACTGACCTCGTTCGGGTTTGGTGCCCACACGGCGTCCGTGCGCGGGTCCATGCGTATGTTCGGGAACGTTGGTGGTGCGTTGACGCGGAAATCGTTAATCAGATCAGGCGCCATCACGGCTTTGACAAAGAAAATTATTGTTGTTAGTTTTTACCTATAATAGCGATTGTATTATGTTAAAAAAAATTATCTACTAGCTAATACCCTCAACTACGTTTCGCGTTTTTATTTATTTTTCGTGTCTAACTTTGAAAATGCCAAAATTGTCATAGAACCGTTCATCCTTTGGTTTACCCCTTAGGGGTTAAATTTCAAAAAATCCTGTTTTAGTGAGTGGCAACTGCCAAGATTTCAAGTTTCTAGCTCCAGCAATTTAAGGTCTTTGTTGATGAATCAAGTCAGTTAGTCAGGGCAAAAAAAAATTTTTTTATAGAGTAATAACCAATTCAGTTAAGCTGTCTATTTTGTGGTTCAAGCCAGAAGTATACTTAGGTCAAATATGAATCCAAAACAGACATGGTCAAAACAGTCCCATAACTTTGCCACTACGCTACAGGTACTCTTTGAATTATAAATGGTCAATCATTTATGTTTCTATCACTAGTTTCTGAGTGACAACCCACAAAAACAGTGTTTAAAGACGCAAATATTTATTTTATACGACAGTTACGAAATCTTATGCTTTATGACAAAATGTTCTTTTTTTTATGTTTTTTGTAGAAACCTATCTTTAATAGCAACAATAATTGACTAATAAACTTATTACGGATACCAAAGTCAGAAGAACGGGAGGGACTACAATGTGAAAGCTGTATACACCCCTTACTGTGATTCATATCTTATATATAAAATTCTCGTGTCACAATGTTAGTTACCATACTCCTCCGAAACGGCTGGACCGATATTTTATGAAATTTTGTGTTCACATCGGTAGGTCTGAGAATCGGCCAACATCTATTTTTCAACATTATTTAGGGGTGCGTCACCCTTGTCATTTAGGGGTCTAAATGACAAGGGTGACCCACCCCTAATTTTTTTTCAATAATTTCCTAGAAATAATGTATGTGGCAAAACAACGTTTGCCGGGTCAGCGTAGTTATTTTTATAAAAATGACAATCGCTTCTGTACAATATTTAACATAACTATTTCTGGACTAATTGGAGATCTCTCTTGGGCATCGGCTCCATGGTGATCAGTTAAAGGATAGATTTGATAAACAGAGAAGAGATATTCCTAGAATTGAGAACGATAACTCTTACGAACCAGTAACAGCAAAACCTGTCTTCTTGTGGTTCATATTTGTAAGTCCTTCTGAAACATTTGAAATAAGGAACGACTTCTCCAGCTCCTCATTTCAAAGATTCAGGTTTAATTACAATAAAAAATACTATTTATATACTTACGATTGAAGATATCCTCTCTAGTTATGGGAGCTGTCCGCCGGCGGGTAAATGTTCGGTATGTGGATATTCTGCTGCGCGAACTGAGGGGGGCACATCTCCGGCCTGTACGGAACATTTCCCCTGTGCTCCTCCGGCAGACGGTTGTATTGTGGATAGTATACTCGGTCGGTGCCCGGAGGGATCATAATCTCGTTGTGGGCATTGGTTGACCCAAAATAATCTGATGGTGAGGCATTGTGTAGCCACTGGAATAATTAACAGCTTTTGTGAGAAAGCTAACTCAATTATATGAACATTTTAGCTATGGGATTTTAGGGGTGGGAAAACTTGACACAAACCCTATACCAACTCGTCTGGCCAGCGTGGTTATAGTAGGCCCAAAACCTGATTTCTAAGAAGAGGCTTATGTCCAGGAGTCGACTATTAAAGGCTGTTTATGTGATGATATGAAAGATCATTGACACAAAGGAGCAAACGGGTCATCTGATGGTGACCACCGCTATTCATGAACCCTCATAAAGAGAGCGTCCCCAGCCTCTGAAGTGACAGTACGCTCTTTTAGTGAAGGCTCGAAGGCCGTACCGATCCGTAAATACCGTTGGCGGCAATTTGTCCCACAGGGTTTTTTTATTTTTTCCCTATGTTGGGTTGGTTAGTTGGCATTGTTGTTAAAATTCAGTTCGTTTTGAGGAATAGTGGGAAAGGACTTATTGCCCTATCCGGTGCAACCATTTTAAAAATAGACATACAAAATATACAATTACATACAATTACATACAAAAAAACATTTAAAATACAAACTTACGCAGCTTGATGACTGCTGTTGCCGTGCGAATTGTCTCCCAGTTCTGTCGGTATATTCACAGGAGGTATGGCTGATGAGAAAAAAACATGGTGAGCTGGTTTAGATTGGTTGATTCTAGTTATAAATAGGAATACGGTGATCGCCTAACAGTAATCCATTAATGGCGCTTATAAACAGCCTGCCAATAGGGATTATCCGACCTGGTAATCCTAGTCATTGGTTCAAATCCTGCACGGATGGCGTGGTGGTTTAAGCGGTCACCCACGCCACTCACTACTACGCTAAGTGCTGTGGGTCCGATCCCCACATGGAACAACACTTTGTGTGGTCCACAAATTGTTGTTCTGAGTCGGGGTGTTCTTTGTGTCTGTTTCATGTTTATAAAGTCCCCCGCGACACAGGATATACTTATTCCTAATGCGGGGAGTTGTCTTTTCAAAAAAAAAGTAGTATAGTTAGAAATTAGAATAGTTAACCCTAATCTCTTACAGGATAAAAAGTGTCCTTTTTACTTTATTCTATTACGTATTATAAAGTTCAAAATTAGGTAAAAACAACTACATAAAACTAGTCCAGGATATATTTGATCTGTCTTGAAACAAAAGTCAATACATTGACAATTCAAGTTATACTGGTCCAAATAAGTAGAGAGACATTCAAAACGGTCGAAATTTGCCCATTATAGTCCGACTTACTTAAGACTTTATATTTATGCTTTTTGTTATAACTAAAACGGCACAAGTGGCAAATAGGTCAAAGTCAAACTATGGATGTTTCTGTAAAGCTCTGAAATTTTAAATAATAATTAAAAAAAGAGTGTGCAACAATACTTACGTGGTACGTTGAAGTTTATGTTGCTCAATGATGGGCTGTGCAACAGGATACTGGGGGAACTGCGGCGGAAGTGGCATTCCTTGCCCGTCAGAGGGACGGGACTTGGATGAATTGGCACGAACGCGTAGTTACCATTAATTTGGGTAACGTATTCGCGAAATCTGCACAGATGAACACGAAACATATTATTTACTTAAACACACACACTACACACAAACACATACACTCACGTCTTTATTCCCCCAAAGGGGTAGTCATAAGTGAATTAAACAACCACATTTAGCCGATAATAATTTTATTTCCACTTATGTAACAGGGGCAAGCCTACTGCCGGCAACCGGGTGCTTATATTTCTAAACTAGCTGAGACCCGCGGTGTTACCCGCGTTTGTTATTATAACCGCGGGCAACGCCGCGGGGCGAAGCTAGTCCTAAAAAAAGTAGCCTAAGTTACTTCCTTATGGTCATCAGCTATCTGCCAGTGAAAGTCCTGTCGAAAATCGGTTCAGCCGTTACAGAGATTACCCGGAAACAAACAAACAGACAGACAGACAAAAATTTAAAAAAATGTTATTTTGGCATATGTACCGTGTAAACATACATATGCATTTTAGTAAAAAGCGATTATTTTAATATTACAAACAGACACTCCAATTTTATTTATTTCTATAGATAACATACTTATATTTTTCTATATGCATATTGATTATAGATAAATTACACTCAGACACAGAACAAAATATTATGTACATAACACACTTAATACTGATTCTAGTAAATGTTACCTCATTCATTGCAATCTTTCGGAAATTACAACAACAGTCAATAATTTTAATGTTCTATACCAGTTCAAAAATCTACGCTTCTACATTAAGATATTATTAACAAACAAGAGGAAGATAGGCCACCAACGCTCAAAAACGCATGGGTCCTAATAGGGGAATATGCACGTGACACCAAAATGGACAAAATATTTTTATTTGTAATTTTTATTGCTAAAAAAAGATACCCATACAATTATTTTTAAATTTATTATAATTTAATAGTGAAATTTAATCATAAAAATTGGCTTTTTTAAGATTCCCTCGCAAATTTCTAAAACGCAACGCTATTGGTTGAATAAAAACGTGACGTCAACCTACACTGTCGAGAGTGTCAACAAGTTGTGTGTATTTGTAATATTTGGTTTCTGGTGATTATTTGTTTCATTTTAAGTTAATAACTAATACGTTTTTAGTGTTAAATTATTAAATTCCCGTGTAGAAAGACTCAACACAATGACTGAAAATACTTTGTCAGGTGCAGTTTTGATATTATTTGAGCACAAAGGAACGGCACAATATCTATAATAAGTTTTTATTGGCTTTTCCATGGTAATAAGTTAATTTTTATCACTCACTTTTTTAACTTTCACAAACTTTGTTAACTGCACTTCGTTGTTGACATCGAATTCGACTGAAAGTGTAATCTGACGTCACAAAAAAAGCGCGCCAAAATGGACGTGTTCAAATTGCCCCAAAATGATAGTGATTTTAATAATTTTTTTTTGCCTAACTGTTTATATTTCGGATGTGTTATATTTATTTGTGGTAATGTAATAACTAGTAGAATCGTTTAAAAAAATAAAAAAAAATACATGCATATTCCCTATTAGGACCACTGCGAGCGAGCGCACGTACTTAAATTGCACAAATTACGACAGGAAAGATAAAGGGATATCAAACCACAGGTAAGCGTACGTTTTGTTCTAAAATGCATTATGAACGGTTACGGAACAAATATTTCGTGCGTGGAGTATGAAATAAAGTCATCCACAGCCTTTACTAGTCCACTGCTGGACATAGGCCTCTCCTTAGGAAAGGAGGTTGGTATAGGGTTTGTGTCAAGTTTTCCTTCTCTTTGCAGTGCTGTTTGTCCTGCGTAGGTTTGCTCCCTTAGTCGGCTCTTACGGACACCCATTCCGTATTCTTAATTCGTCACCACACGGACCTAATATATTATTGTTATTTATAAGGGAAACTATATGGAACCCACGGTGGGCGATCCGGCTCACACTTCCTCCAGATTTGTTTTCTTCATATTATAATAATTTCCTACCTTGGGTTTTTGGTCCAACCAACAAAAAAACCCCAAGGTAGGAAATTAACAAAAAAAATACCAATAAGTTCACAGATCAGATCTGTGAAGTTATGGTATTTTTTTTGTTACGTCCGTACCTTTCTAGCTCACTCCTCTGAGTGGGCAAAGGTACAAGCGTTGCCCCTTGGACAGAAGGATCTCGCGGCGGCATCCCTGCACATCGACACTTTGTATTTGGCATGTGTAGGGGTGGACGCTGCCTGCGGGGACCCCTGACCTGTGGACGACGGCTTGTTAAAGCTTGACATACAAATAAAAACAAAGATTACATAATCGTCGTAATTCCTACATAATATTTTCGAGAGTGTCATTTTGGTAGAAATACATAAGTAATAATAATAATAATATTGTATCACATTCACACAACGCCATCTAGTCCCAAACTAAGCAGAGCTTGTACTATGGGTGCTAGACAACTGATATAAATACATATATACTTTTTTTTTGTAAATACATACATATTATACATAGAAACACCCAGACCAAATCCAACATTAAATGTTCACGCACACAAATGTTTGACGAGCGGGAATCAAACCAAAGTGGTCCAATTTAAGCGCCGGTTCGATATTGGTTACTCTCTCCTACATTACAGACATACACACTGTGTGTCTAATGCAAAGTCTAATTAAAAGTTCTACATAAAATAACCATATCATCCATGACACACCATTTAGAACTGTGCTCTTATACCAAGTAAGTATACTCAGAACAACAAAATATCAACTCATGCGCAAATAAAAATTGTATAAAGAGGACTTAATGCCACAGGTATTATGTTCGAAGAGAGTTGAAGGGAAACAAAATAAATGTACATATACAAACATACGTACTCAAATACACGTGTATATATACAGGGTTACTCTGTAAGTCGACCTAAATACTTTAAAGGGTTGTAGTTGCCATAATTTCTGATAATTTCATTATGCAATACCATATCCCAAACCCAACCATTTCCAAGATATTGGACTTTATATTATTTTTATGAAAACAGCCGAAATATTGCCTAATACATTTTTTTTAGAACTTATATCCTATATTTTACGCTTTTTTTTTAATGTTTTTGTGTAGTTGATAAATCTAATATATAAAATTCTCGTGTAACGGTGTGCGTGGTTGAACTCCTCCGAAACGGCTCGACCGATTTTCGTTGAAATTTTGTGTGCATATCGGGAAGGTCTGAGAATCGGCCAACATCTATTTTTCATACCCCTAATTTTATTTTTATTTTTTGACAAAAAAATTGAAATAATGTATATGGCAAAACAACGTTTGCCGGGTCAGCTAGTTGTTTTATAATTTCCATTACTAAAATTGTAGTTAACTTTTAATAATAATAAAAAGAAATACAATTGGTTAAAAAAATATTCTTTGACTAATAATTTAAAAAATCTATGACAGTTAAACTGCAGATTTGTTAAAAAACAGATACGTATTGTCAGCTATCTAACAAGATATAATAGTCTAGGATAGTATCAGAATCCATAGAAAAAAAACTTAGATGTTAGACCGGGAGTGTTATGAATTAGCGTACAACCCTTGGTAGCATTTAGTTGAAAACTTGGCTTTTTGACGTGACAACGTCTTATAATTCGATGGAGCCGGCTGCACGCACGAAAAAAACATGACTCATGCGGCGTTACCTCGCTCTGAGGCATTTAAGGCGTGAAGTGCAAGCGAGAGCGCGGAACGAGCGACAAAGAGGCACAATCGGCCTCCGCCTTCGGTAGCGTTCGACATCTGTCTCTCTCCTACTTGAGTGAGCGATGCGTCCGCGTGGACAGCTCAAAATGCAACCATTCCATCAGTATTTTCTTATGACTTTCCGACTTTACAGACCACCGATTTTTTTTTTGACCGTTTCGTTTTCTATTTCAACTAACTGTTGCTAAGTGCACTTTGATTTATGCTACTTGTGCTGTTTAAGATCACGACCTATACGAACGAGAAATATACTGGTATTCTGATTTGTTACGGATACTGCTAACGCGTATCCGCAAGGGCTCGTGGATGAATACATAGCAGCATAGCATCCCGGCCATCTTGTACCGGATGTTATTCTGCAGGACGGAGCCTATCGACAAATTAGACTGACCGGCTCTGTTTCTGTGTTCTACCAAAAAATATGGAAACCATAACCCCTTAAAGTATTTAGGTCGACTTAACCAGTAGCAAACATTTGAAACAAACCAACCAACCCGTTTGGCCAGCGTGGTATAGCAGACCAAAACCTCCTTTCTAAGGAGACGCGTATGTCCAGCAGTGGACTGGTAAAGGCTGTTGATGTGATGCAATGTGACCTAGTAACCCTGTATATATATATACTTGCTAAGTTACATATATACACATATTGTATCTGATGATAAAGTGCATCTGTATTAAGACCAACCCTTAATTCACTTTACCAACTCACTTGCAGTGCTTTCCAAACATCTCTCACTCAGGTTGTGTTTTTGGTTGTGGTTCGAATCTCTGCCCTGTGTCTGCTGCTGCAAGTAGTGGATCAAGCCAGCCACCACCTCTTTCAGTGACGTCATCACCTCCCCTAGCTGCAGCCAGGTAGGACTTTTTGCATCTAAAACAACAGATGGGATGATTTGTAAGTATACTTAAGCAATCTTTTTTTTTATGGTATAGGTATATATGTCTATGTGGTGACGGACACCGCCCCTATTCATCCCGTGGGAGTAACTACGCAGGATAACAGCACTGCAAACCTACCTGCTACTGCCACTGTGTGGCCAGCGTGGTATAGTAGGCCAAAACCTCCTTTCTAAGGAGAGGCCTATGTCCAGCAGTGGACTATTATAGGCTGATGATGTGATGGTGATCTCCATCTATAAAATACTAGCTGACCCGCGCAACTTCGTCCGCGTCTCTCAATAGTAATAAATTTTCTCCGTTTTTGAAACATTCTTCATTGGTGCTCCGCTCCTATTGGTCTTAGCGTGATGATATATAGCCTATAGCCTTCCTCGATAAATGGGCTATCTAACACTGAAAGAATTTTTCAAATCTAACCAGTAGTTCCTGAGATTAGCGCGTTCAAACAAACATACAAACAAATAAACCCTTCAGCTTTATAATATTAGTATAGATTACCTGGACTAGCATCAATGTTAGCGAGCCTGTCTAAATGCAGACTCATAACAACGAGCTGGGCAGGATCGCCGGTCCGTTGGAGTGCGATGAACAATTCCTGCACCGACTGAGCGAATGATTGGGGAGTTTGTAATTTATCTGTTAACAACACAACATAAATATCAATACATTTGTTTTTTAAAGATAACTCCCGCACTAGGAATAATCACGGGGGCCTTTACAACATTAAGTGTTGCTCCCACAACACTCAGCGCAAGTAGGAAGCGGCGAGGTGACCGCTTAAACCACTACGCCATCCGTGCAGTCAAGTCTAAGTCTTTTTTTACGGCTTGCCAATCAGAATCTCTAACTACTAGACCAAAACGCAGGCGTTTTGGTTTAGCCAAAACCTGTTTTATCAGGATAAAACAGGTTAAATATGCAAATAATTTGCATCGGGTTTTTGGTCAGAAACCGAATCGATCAGATATATTAGACCAAGGTCCCAAACTCTTTTAAAGATAAAAATGAAATGCTGCTTGTTGTTATGCGCATAACTTCAGAATGGCTCGACTGATTGGTTATTTTCACCTTTGAATGTTTGTACGAGCCCGAATAAGCTGTATGTACTTAAAGAAAAGGAGAAAAATGGTACAATTGGGGGAAACTAAAAATGCCGTTTTCAGAAACCTTCTATGTATAACTAGGCAAAAAAAAAATCAGTTATGAATATTCTCCTGTATTTGTTACGGGGTTTTACTAATTTCTGTTTTGTTTAGTAACTATTGACGAGCTTTAGTGTTGTTAATAAGATTTCATTCCGTTGGCACTGAGTTAAGTTACAAAATTTTATTATAGATTTTTTAAATTTGAATTTGATTTTTTTTTTAATAGGAAAGTCGGCACCACCGATTTAGTTTACATGTAGGTGTCTGCAAAGATCTATTTACAAAATAAATCATTCGTTCTTTCATTCATTCATTCACTGCCTAAATTCGTGTTTGTATTAAATTTTCACCATGGGAGAGATATGCTTCGGCACAAATGGACCGGCTTGACCGAAAGTTTTACCATGACTGCACAGAAAACCGGCGTCCAGCAATTCTTTCATTACTTTCAGATGTCGATGGGCGCGGTGGCCACTTACCATCAGGTGACTTTCTTGCTCGTTCGCCCCCATCTGTCATAAAAAATGATTTCTATATTTGAGATTGTTACCAATTTCTTATCTCGTACCTATAATGCTCTGCATGTGACTCTTATGTGCCGTGTCTCCGTAGAGCAGGGCACTCCACTGATCCGGAGCTATCCTCAACCCCGCCCTCGGTGGCGATCTGCACGATCTGAGCGTCGTGCTCACGCCGCAAGGACTCGTACGTACGAAACTCTTCCTTCAGTTGCATTAGTGAAGAGTCGCATTCACGTTTTGAAACCTACACAGCAAACAGACAAATTGAATGTGCTATACACATCGTATAAAATCAGCAGAGAAAATATAATAAATGTACCACACATACGCCTTCACTAAATATTTATACGAACTTTAAACTGAATATTTATGGAATTGTATAAATTCCATAGTACATTTTTTAGCCTGTCTCGTAAGGATTAACCAGGGTTTACAATGTAAGCGAGCAAAAACCATGTTTTTTACGACAAATCTTTGAAGTTCTCGAATTTTCTCTACTATAATATGCATGTATCATACATATAAACCTTAGTATTGAATCACTCTCTCTATTGGTGAAAACCGCATTAAAATCCGTTGCTTAATTTAAAAGATGTAAGCGTACGAAACAAAAAAGCTACTTTATTTTTTACTTTGAACAGATATTACTTTTACTACTTATGCCATCTGTTAGAAAAATAAAGAATTAATATCGATGTAAACAGTGTTTTCATTAAATAATGAATACATTATTAATAATTCACATATTAAAAGAGAATTCGCTTTAAAAAACCTTGAAAATTGTTACTAGATAGAAACCGTTGCGAGCCCTCCTTAAGCACCGATAATTAATTTTTTTAGTTTTTTTTATAGTTAATTTAGTTATTTGTGCTTTAGCTTATGTATTTATGTTTAATTGAATTGTTTGTTAATTATTTTGTTATAAATTACCTTTTAATCATGCTAAATTTACATGCATAGATTTAAAGATATTCTGTTTAGTTACATAGATAATGAAAAAGGTATAAGGTTGCCAGGTATGTGAACGGAGGTAAAACTGTATTTACTTAGCTATAACCGAAAAATACAACGTTTTGTTTACTATTTGATCTATTATATTTATTAATAAAAAAATAAAATCCTAATAGTATTATTTTAAAAGTTTTTTTAATTCACTCTTAATCATTCATTCTTAATTTTAAACAACGGTAACACTCTCCTTTTTTACGTTTAGTGATGTCAGATTCAAATTTAATTGAACACCAAATTTAGTTCGACTTGACAACACAATAGCATTTGGAAATCGCCTCACTAAATAAATAAAATTAGAGCATTTTAGAGAAATTTAATTTAGTTGTGTCAATAACAGAAGTAGCAACAATGTTCGTTTACTTACCTTAAAACAAGAAGCTCTGTATAGGAGCTGGACGACATGGCCTATACTAGTTTTTGAAGCCTGCGGAAAATGAGGCTCCAGTCTTTGGACAACAAACATCACCAACACCTGCACACAGAAAAGCTTACTATAGACAAGAATAGTTTTCTTTTTTTTTGCCAGTTCTTCAGATCATATCTAGTCTATGTCCAGTGTATAAAATGACATGAATTGACTTACCACAGACAATTATGAGGTTAGGATAAAAATTGATTTTGAATATGTCTCACCTTTCTAGACAGTGCTGAACCGTCCTCCAGAGCGAGTAACACTAATTTAAGGACCTCTTCCTGCATTGCCGGTCCCAGGAACTGACACCCTCGTGCCCTCACAGCCGCCCACAGATTGGCGCTTAACTGCTGCGGGTTCTAGCGGGGATGAGAACATGATGAATGATGATAAAAATTACTTAATTAATTAGGGTTTCAGTTCCTTTGGTGTCTATCCGTGTGGTGACGGATTAAGAATACGAAGTGTCACTACCCCCATTCGTCCTGTGGGTGTCGTAAGAGCCGACTAAGGGAGCAAACTACGCAGGACAACAGCACTGCAAAGAGAAGGAAAACTTGACACAAACCCCACAAACACCACAAACTTGGTATACCAACCGGTCTGGCCAGCGTGGTATAGTAGGCCAAAACCTTCTTTCAAAGGAGAGGCCTATGTTCAGCAGTGGACTATTAAAGGCTGTTCATGGATGGCTGAGGATTCCTTTGACCAAAAACTAGGCTAGATAATAGCCTCTATTTAAAGGAATTACAGGAACAAGAGGCTCACCCTCTAGCAAGCCTCTTTTCCCTTAATTAAATCATCATCATCAGCCTATCGCAGTCCACTGCTGGACATAGACCTCTTCGATTGCACGCTACTTCGATCAATTTCTGGTCTTACAGGTTGATGAATTTGTTTTAACGTCTTCAAGAACATAATATGTATTATTTGAATTCGTTATGATAAAAACCTGATTCAGAAGTAATCTATGATAGGCCTTACCTGATGCTGCAATATTAAGCTCAGTCACGGTTCTTTCGCCTAGCGACCTGGCTGCCCCGCGCAGCCTTTCCTCTCCCCTCTTCATCAGTGATGGCACACTGCAGCAGCATCACCAGTTTGCGCTGCATGGGTCTCGACAAGCGGCTGCCTACCACGGTGTTGCTCACTATGCCATCCAAGAAACATTCCATTTTAAACTTAGACTTGAGCTTTAAAAGCTTTTTATAGCGACCCTGCTTAAGTTGAGGTTATTCTATCTATAAGAAAACTTCTGTGGCAAAGTTGATCAAGGAGTGATAGGCGTCTTAGAATATATCAAATAACCGTATTCGATAGTTAGTTATTACAATATCACACGCAGTAGTCAACTGACGTGTACTGCCGTCGAATCCCGACTGATGTTTAAAGAGAAAAAACATGAAACGTTACCAATCAGATTCGAACCTCTTAACAAACCAGTGAACATCTACGGATTCTTATAAAGTTTGGTTTGTTTCAAAGTTGGAGTTTTTACTAGCAATGAAAACTTAAGTCTGAGTTGGAATTCAAGGAATAAAAGTAAATTATCACCTTGAATTTGTTTATTAACAAATGTACGAATAAAAACGGTAGCAAAGCTCTGGTGAATCGCTTATTCCAAGCAGCGTCTTGTCACTGACAATAACGTAGTGTTTGTACATAATATTATAATCTATACAAATAAATAAAATTGGAGTGTCTGTTTGTAATATTAAAAATAACCGCTTTTTACTAAATGCATATTGTATGTTTACACGGTACATATGCCAAAATAACATTTTTTACAATTTTTGTCTGTCTGTCTGTCTGTTTGTTCCGGGCAATCTCTGGAACGGGTGGACCGATTTCGACGGGACTAACTTAGGCTACTTTTTTTAGACTAGCTCCGTCCAGCGGCGTTGCCTGCGGTTATAACAACAAACGCGGGTAACACCGCGGGTCTCAGCTAATATATAATATATCTCACACACGGTCGTCTGATCCCAAACTAGGCAGAGCCGGTACAATGGTAACCTGACTGCTGATAAACATACTTATATATTTTAAAATACATACATATTATAGATAAGTTACACCCAGATACAGAACAAATAACCGTGCTCATCACACAATATTTGTCCCGGGTGGGAATCGAACCCACGACCCCTGGCTTAGCAGTCAGGGTCACTAACCACTAGACCAACAGGCCTGTTAATTATTACAAGGTTAATTATGCTTATACTTCAATATGTTATGAGTAGTAAGTGTAGATAAGACCCATGAACGGTAAAAAGACTGCTTTATTGGTAAAAATATTGAAACGTCGGTCCGTAAAACGTGTATGCACTAATCCATTTGGCCTAGTTTTGGATCATTTACAACAATTTCAACCAGGAGGTTCTTAAATCGTCTTAATATATTTTAATAAGCTTTTTAGTGGACAGTCTTACATAAATATAAGAGATCTCACTTTCAAATTAAGAATATACAGACTTTAATTTGGTGCGATGATGTCGGTTGAAGTATTCTAATGACCAATGCAATGTAAGTGCTGAATTATTTAAGACGATAGCCCTGGGCATTCCAAATATGCCAATCCTTTTGATATCACCACTGATGAGCCACTGCTATTCCATCGCCACTGTAAAGGCACTGAGTTAGTGTAGACTACCGATATTTATACCGATGCCAATGGCCAACTCGATGGCATCTCAATAGCGTGGTCAGTGGTATGACAGTGGCTTGGCGTGAACATAAAATAGCAGAATTGAGGCCCTGTATGCGAGTGAATCTAATGATGATTAAAAAGTTTTATTAATAGACTCACCATTGCCACAGAACTTGAGGTAGGCAGCAAGGTTTTCCATACACTTGATGATGTTGTCGTAGGCTTTCCGATCGGCTTCCGACAGAGCCTGTATCGAAGGGGATGGTAGGGCTGGGTAGGAGGAGTGTACCCAGCCAGCTGGAGGAGAGCCGTGTTCACGACAAACTCCTCCGGCTCCACCTGGATAACTGTCTGCAAGGTAAAGAGTTGATTAAGAGAAACATAAGAAATAGGCAAAAGGTTTATTTTTTAGATATGAGTGATGATGAGTGTTGTAAATAATGCTCCCAGAGTAGCAATCACATTTTTCTTTACTGTACAGTTTTTATATACAAGTGCTGTATTGAAATTATTTCATTATGCGCTTTTTAAATTGCTTTACTTACGTTTTATAAGTTACAATAACAATACGTACGATACGAGACTCTTTAAATAAAATTGAATCATCGCGAATACATCAGTTTTGTTAAGTCCTACCTTTTGCTGAAAATTCTTTAACACGTCTCAATTTAATTAAGCGTTTCAAGTAATTTCAACCGCACACAACTGAACTATTCAGATTACCAAAAACCGTTCACCGAAACCTTTAGCGATACGGTAAGACATACATTATGTGTATAAAAATCAATAACTTGTTGTACAGTTAAGCCGCATGTTTGTGAAGAACAAATAAAGAATTTTGAAGAAAGTAACACTACGAGCTGCGAGGGTTTTAAAGACAGTTTTCAGTACACATGATTTCAAATCTAATCGGCTTGCTACCTATTATGAGAGTAAGGCTCAGTTAAAGTTTAAAAAATGTGGGAAAAATCTGACTTCGGGGCCTCAGATAACATAGATTCAAAACTGTATGTATACCTCACATATGTATATACATATACTGAAAAATCGTTTGCTGAATCCCTAACACTTTTAGTGAAATCTCTAACACATCTTTAAATCTAGTAGAATATGCCACATCATTTTATTCTATTCCTTTTATCGTCTCAGCTACTTTTTTTAATTAATGAATTTTCAAGTAAAAGACATATTTTTTTTATGTTAGAGGGAGTAGACGAGCAGACGGGTCACCTGATAGAAAGTGACTATCACCGCCCATGAATGTCTGCAACTCAGTAGTCACTTCTCAGTTCAGTCTCTTTTCTTGAAGGTTTCAAGGTCGTATCGCTCCGGAAATACCGCAGTCGATAACCAATACCGTAAAGTATCATAATATGTGGTGGTACTAAATACTTTTAGGAATATCCTTCATTCGGTTTCAAATGTTATTTAAGGTTAGTACGTTGCCGTAAACCTGCATCGATAGGTATATTTTGATGAAAGATACAACACGTATCATATACATATCCGTGAAAATCAAAACCTGTACTCTAGTCCATATAATCTATTACAAATAAATAAAGTTGGAGTATCTGTTTGTAATATTAAAATAACCGCTTTTTACTAAATGCATATGTATGTTTACACGGTACATATGCCAAAATAACATTTTTTACAATTTTTGTCTGTCTGTCTGTTTGTTCCGGGTAATCTCTGGAACGGCTGAACCGATTTCGACGGGACTTTCACTGGCAGATAGCCCCGCGGCGCTGCCCGCGATTATAACAACAAACGCGGGTAACAAAGCGGGTCTCAGCTAGTAGTACATAAGTATATAGAAGACATATTCTTAGCGTTCCATGGATTCACCGTGGAGGTGCCGGATCCATCTCGTGATGGATGGGGCAACACATGCGACTTCGACCAATGCCTAGGAATTGCGACCCAGGATAGGTTTAGGGAGAACTCCTTGCGACGCATCAGCGCTCACCTCTACTATCTGCTGTGTAACCAGGGAGTAACACAGCATATAGTGGAGGTGAGCGCTGTTCATATCAAACATGGTTAGGTACAGGGCTACCTAACTATTTTGATATGAGCCTAGCAATGCCGCTTTGGTTACTCCTTCTAGAAAAGACCTTACTGAAGCTCTTGACAATCCAAGGTCTTGAAGCAGGTTTTAGACGGATTTAGCTGGTATAGGTACAACTCGAACCCACTTCCACGGTATACAACGCAACGAAATAACCATTTTGAGTTATTTCGTTGGTTAAGGCAAAATACTTGTTTTTTTGTTAAAGCGTGGTCTTTGGGATGTTCATTTCCCACGGCATTGTATTAGCCGGGATATGTAAGTAAATACCTTAGCACAGTTTAGCGGTTTCAGAATTTGTAAAATTACTAAGAAGAACAAGTCATGCACTGAATTAAATTCATTTCACTTAATCTGGTCTTAGACTTCTTTCTGATCCTAATTACAATTTTTAATAATTCGACACATTCACAAATGTTGGTCACATTTGTGTGCGAGGGTTTGTTGTAACTACGTATAGACTTTCTGCAGATTTTTTTAAATAATTTGACACATCTAGTCTTTTAATTTTATTAGGTTATTTGGTATCAACATCCATAATGCCGTGAGTCAGCGTTGAGCCATGAATCAATCAGTCAAAGCAAGTAACTTTATATAATAACTAGCTGACCCGCGCAACTTCGTCTGCGTCTCTCAATAGTAATAAATTTTCTCCGTTTTTGAAACATTTTTCATTGGTGCTCCGCACCTATTGGTCTTAGCGTGATGATATATAGCCTATAGCCTTCCTCGATAAATGGGCTCTCTAACACTGAAAGAATTTTTCAAATCGGACCAGTAGTTCCTGAGATTAGCGCGTTCAAACAAACAAACAAACAAACTCTTCAGCTTATAATATTAGTATAGATATTTTACCTGATCGAAGGGACATTGTTTCCGGTGTAAGTGTTTGAGACAATGTTTACAGAGTGTGTGGCCGCAGCCCAGGCTGATAGGGCTCCGGGGTGGTGCGCCAAATTCTCGGCAGCACACTGGACAGTTGAGGTAATCCGTCCATTGAGGCGCCTGGATTGGCATTCTGCAACAAAGCACGAATACATCAGAATTTAACAATAGAACATCTATTGGTCTTAGGCTTCTCTTAATGACTTCCAGAAGACTAGTGGATGTTGACGTTGATCAATGGCGGAGATGATGACGATAAGTACAGATGTTGCCAACGTGCAAATGGTTGAATACAGCTTAAGTTTTTCGTCACGGTATGACGGAAAAATATTTAAAATGTCAAGCAAACAGAAAGCTCATCTTTAGGTCTACCGGTACATTCGCCTTGCAAAAAACGTTTCCATTCTTCAGGAAACTAGGGCGATCCTATTGACTACCAGGAACAAAGAAGCGCTGCTGGTCTTTAAGGCGAGTGCTTCGTAGTAGGCTGGATGCACTTTGCCGACAGAAGGATCGATACGTGTTGATATATGATATTTATTATTAAGTTAGTGTGAATTCGTGGCCAGTAACTATAATCTCCTTAGTTTTAGGGAAAACATTTTCAGACGTGGACAGTTCCTTCCCGGTGGACGGTTCCTCACACTTCTGCTGTAACAACGCATGTATGACTTTTCTACAGCGGGGTTTACATAGTGTTATCTATAAACATTTACTTTTTTAAAGGGAACCCTTTATAGCAGAACTTTTTATGTCATAATATTATTTAGCATAACATTATCATCAGCCTATCGCAGTCCACTGCTGGCCATAGGCCTCTCCCATTGCACGACACTTACATCGATTTCAGATAACACTAGGTAAACAAGTCCTGGGCCGGATCTGGCGGACAACCAGTACGGTTTCCGTCAGGGGCGCTCCACCGTGGATGCGATCATGCGCGTGAAGGCTCTGGCGGAGGAAGCAGTCTCCCGGGGTGAAGTGGTGTTGGCGGTGTCCTTGGACATCGCCAACGCGTTCAACACTATGCCCTGGAGCTGCATCAGGGAGGCACTCGTGTATCACGAAGTGCCTCTCTACCTCCGCCGCATAGTCGGGGCATATTTGTCGGAGAGAGCCGTCGTCTACCCCAGTAGGACCGGTCTCGGTAGGCGTGAAATGTCGTGCGGTGTTCCGCAGGGGTCGGTGTTAGGGCCACTCTTGTGGAACATCGGCTACGACTGGGTGCTTCGTGGTACCTTCTTGGATGGTGTCGCCGTCGTGTGCTACGCGGACGACACACTCGTGACGGCGCGCGGCAAGACGCACCACGAGGCAACCCTGAGGGCCACGGCCGGGGTTGCCCAAGTCGTTGAGCGTATCCGGCGGCTGGGTCTCGAGGTGGCTCTGCACAAGTCCGAGGCCCTGTTCTTCCACGGGCTTCGGAGGAAGCCGCCTGAGGGATCTAGCCTCACGGTAGGAGGCACTCGCATCGGCATCGAGCCCTCGATCAGGTATCTGGGGCTCGTACTCGATGGCCGATGGGACTTCGGATATCATTTCCGAGGTCTGGTCCCCAAGTTGGTCGGGGCAGCGCGTGCGTTGGCGCGGCTGCTGCCCAACATGAAGGGACCCGATGACTCCTGCCGGAGACTCTACTCGGGGGTTGTGCGGTCCATGGCCCTTTACGGGTGCCCAGTATGGGCGGGGGCCCTGAAGGCCAGCAACGTCGCGATACTGCGGCGACCGCAGCGAATGCTGGCCATCAGGATCATAAGGGGGTACCGCACGATCTCCTTCGAGGCGGCGAGTCTCCTGGCCGGAACTCCACCGTGGGACCTGGAGGCGAGAGCCCTTGCAGCACTGTATCAGTGGCGCAAGGAGGCGCAGGAGTTGGGTCGATACCCCGAGATTCGAGAAATCGATGACCGGAAATCCCAACTCCGCCAGGTCACCATAGGGGAGTGGAGGGAACGACTCGGGCAACCGAGCGCCGGGCACGCCGTCATTGCGGCGGTAAGACCCGTTATGGAGGATTGGCTCGAGAGGCGTCACGGGACCCTCTCATACCGATTGACGCAGGTGATCACTGGGAAGGGATGTTTCGGAGATCACCTGTGTCTGATCCGCAAGGAGCCAACGCCTGAGTGCCACCACTGCGATGGCCAGACCGTGGACACGGCTCTCCACACGCTGGCAGAGTGCCCGGCGTGGGTTGAGCAGAGGCGAGACCTCGTGGCGGCCATCGGAGTGGGAGTTCTCTCGCTCGATAGCCTGATTGCGGCTATCGTGCGGAGCGAGAGTGCGTGGAACTCTGCCGTCTCCTTCTGCGAGCAAGTTATGCTCGCGAAGGAGACGGCGGAGCGGGACCGGGAGAGGTTTAGAACTCTCCCGGCCCGCCAGGGCCCGGGCACGGGCCAGGCAGCGCAGGCGACTCAGGCGCCGGAGGTCGCAGAACGACCTCCGTCCTCCATAAGCGCAGGCCTGGGGGTGACAGGTGAGGCCATCTGTCACCCTAGCAGAAGCAGGCCGGGGTGGCGGCGAGCGCGTTGCGAAGCGCGCTCGCTTCCAGGGAGCACAGGGAACATGGGGTTCCCACACGGGGCGGGGGTCGTCTACTCGTCTGTAGATGACCCGAGGTATGTCGGGGCACCAGGGCCTTCCTTTCTAGGGTATACCTGGTTCCCCGGCAATTAGTACCCGGCGAAGGCGTGCGGTTTTAGTCGGTTCGAGTCCGACATGCCACCGACAGGTGGTATCCGAGGGGATTTCCGCACGGAAAAAAAAAAAAAAAAAAAAAAAAAGGTAAACAAGTCCTTGTTTTTTTTAGCAAAACAACGTATAAACTTCATTTCGCTGAAAATCTTTTGGCAGACACTTATTTATCATACATTCATAACTCATAATTTTGTAAGTCATAATCATCTTTATAGAATCATCATATTGCCGAAAGTTCATAGTCAGAAACGTCTTTGAGCATAAATTTCATATCGATAGTCATTAAAAGGTAGAACTATCATACCTCAGGAAGTTTATAGTGCGAATCATCTTTTGGCATTACATATCTATAATGATTAAAAGACTATTTATCCATTATTATGTATTTCTTACCATAATAATAAAGCCAGCAAGCATGTAGCAAATTTGTCAAGGCTCCAGCGCTGCGGGACTCCGGCGGTTCCACACGAGCTCATCGTGGTAGATGAATTCAACGTTCACCACCGCAGCTTCGGCTTGCTGGCCGGCTTTGTCGGGCAGCCTCAGCCGCGGCGGCGAGCGTTGAAACCACCTCCTCCTCAGCTCGCGGGCTGCCTTGCCCCTCCGCGTCTACGCGGGCTTAAATTACACTCCAGGGGTAGGGCAGACAAGACTACGTGGAGTCAGTTTTGTAGCGATTCGTTTCTGACACAAACTTTTGTAGCGAGACCTAGCATGACTTTTTGAGAAAATATTTTTATTTGAAGGTTAAAAATGCCGTTTTATGCCAATATGCCTAATGAAATTATTCCAAAGGAAATTGTACCAAATAATCGGCGCTCTAAATAAACGTCACGTTAAACGAAATTATGTTGAATTTTAACTCTGCCAAAGGTAACTATGCTAAATAAAATTATGAAATCTTAAAAGTATGCCATTGTAAATTCGGACATTTAGACATTCGGCCAAAAAGTAATTATTCTAAATATTTTTTATACCTTAAAAATATTCGTTTAACGTAAGATTCTGCTAAGTGTGTTATTCGAAGTAAATTTCGAAACATCAAGATTCTGCCAGCTAGAGGGAACGCCTTTTTTAAGGATATTCGTAACATGGGCCCCGCAATCGGCCAATTGGAAGTTAAGCTTTAATTGCTACTTATTTAAAACACCAGTTTTCAATTTCTTTAAGCCGTTGTATTACTACGGTCGAGCCGTCTCGTATGTGTTCCATCCACGGTAATCATCTTTTTTCTGCGTTTTTCTCAATTTTATTTGGTATCGGTGTAACGTTCAGCTGGTGTCTATTATGGATGGCCGCCTGACGCCTAAACTCCTAGAGAAGACTCAACTAGAACAGAGCTATCAACAAGCCACACATATTTGTAAAAATATTTCGAAATGTCAATACGATTTCGAAATCCATGGGAATATTATACAAATGAAAAAAAAAACATGTTTGATCGAGGCGATTGCTCCGAGATGTTGACATAGTTTAGGTAACGAACTAGCAGGTTCCGACTGATGTTTTTTATAGAGAAAAACTTTTTACCTGGCCCTGTGCCAGAGAAAGAAATTGGTCTGGCTTCGAAACTTAACAATATAGTTGGTTGCCTCGGCTTGATTTGGTCTGGCGAAGTTTCTAAGTTTTGAAGAAATCATGTTTTTGTATGGGTGCTGTTAGCTGCTGAACAGTTATTTTTTAGTTACCAACTTACATAACTAATTGCTTGGTAACTTACGTAAAACGTCAGACGCACGTATATACAAAGTAAAATTTATACTAACATTATAAAGCTGGACAGTTCGAATTGATCTTTTCAGTATTGGCTAGCCCATTTATCGGCAATTTGGATATTTAAAATCACGCTACGCCCGATAGAAGCGAAATATCAGTGAAAAATGTTGCAATAATAATATTAAAAAAGAACTAAAAAACACGCTCTTTATAGAAAACCAAACTAAAAAAAGGAAAATAAATTTTAATAAATTTGAAAAAAAGCGTGGGGTTTTTACTATTGAAAAAAGCTGTTTACTATTGACAACAGGCACCCAACGCTTTGTTTTCAAATTTATTAAAATTTGTTTTTTAGTTTGGTTTACCACGAGTTATTAGTTTTTACACAGGTTTTTAGAAGTCCAGCAGTGGACTATTGAAGGCTGATGATGTGATGTGATGATAGATATTTTCATAATTAATTATTTTTTAAATTGAATAACAATAAAACAGGATCGTTACAGTTTTCTATGAAGATTTTCTTGTAATTTAAGTAAATACAACTTACATGATACAAAATAATACGTTCAGATT